TTTATTTGTATAATTCTAGTGATATAAAAATATCATTCTTATTATTCATTATGCTGACCTGACCTGACTTGACCTGACTAACGGGTCACGGGTAGTCTAGTAGTGATATAAAAAATATTAATTTTACTATTGATTATTCTGACCTGACCCGACTTGACCTGACCTGACCTGACCAGCGGGTCACGGGCAGTCTAGTAGTGATATAAAAATATCATTCTTATTATTGTATAATTCTTCTTATTGGATAACAAATAAAACATGAAAAAAAACTTAATTAGTTTTATTAGTACTTCTCCCCTCCCCCACAAGTTGTGCTTTCTCTTAAATTTCTCTTAACAGGGGCAATTGTCCAGGGGTGGGGGTGTTGTCCCGGGGGGCAGTTTTCTTGATACTATTGACATGTTTGGAACCAAAACCAAAAAGAAGTACCGAAGCTTGATTAGTAATTTAGAGCTAAAAATGGGGTTTCGTCATAATAGTCAGCTTCCAGCGGTCAATCCCTAACCTAAATAGTTAAAATAATGATTCTGATCCAAAAGTATCTCTAGAAAAGTGTTGTAATCTTCTTGATTTCTTTGCAGATTGCGTCAGCTGAGAGTTGTCGTCATGGAGATTGAATAAAGCCTCAAGAGTTTCCTCCCTTGACTCTGCACAAATCTCAAATGGAACGACAGGCTGTAAAAGAAAAACAAAGGAAACAATGTGCCTGAATAATTCTTGTGGTTGAGGGTGAAAATAATTGGAATAGATAAACAGATCAACTGTTGAAAAAATGGCATAGATAAATATTGATTTTTTTCTCTAAATTATACCAGTGAATTAAATGGTATGAAAAGTAAGGACAGTGTTGTGCCTTGAAAATCAGCGTTCGAAATCCCTATATAAGCAGCAGTGGAAAAATAAGGTACTATCATCGACATGAAGAAGGTACAAATTAGCAGATACCAGTTGATAGAAAATTAAAATAGATAGATAGATAATGTACAATATGAGATAGATATGAATGCAGTGAGATAGATAGATAGATAGATAGATAGATAGATAGATAGATAGATAGATAGATAGATAGATAGATAATGAACACACTGAGATAGATACGAACAGACTGGGATAGATAGATAGATAGATAGATAGATAGATAGATAGATAGATAGATAGATAGATATGGTTCTAATTGACTGAAGGTGAAAATACTGGTTGGCTTAAGCAAAATATTGTCAAAAACAACCGATTACCTGTGAAAGAAATAAACAGAAGTCGATTGTAAAATGACAAAATAAAACAAAATGGATCCTGAAAAAGAAACAGTATATAAATTACCACACCTACATCGTTACAGATAGAAAGTTTTATAAATCGAATGAGATGAGCGTGGGATAGAGAGAGAGAGAGAGCAAACGAGAAAAAGAGATAGAAGGAAAAGGGAAAAGAGAAAGACGAGAGAAAGAGAGAGAGAGAGAAAAAAGAGAAAAATATATAGAGAGAAAGAGCGAGATCGAGAAAGAGAAAAAGAGAGAGAAAGAAAGAAAGAGAGAAAGATGAAAAAAGTATGAAAACAAGAGAGGAGAGGTATGAGGTGTGCAAACAGTCCGAATGATATTCAGTAAAAGAAAACGAGAAATGAAAAAGGATTATTGTAAGGACGAAAATAATATTTTAAACCCGAAACTACTATCACAAGGTAAGAAATACATTCAATGAGATTTTTTTAAATATTTCAAATTTCCGGGTGAAAGTTTTTTTTGGTATTCAACTTTGCTGTTGAAAGGCGAACGTATCATTTTGTAAGACGTCAAACATCACTGTTTTTCGGGGTGGAAATATAATATACAGCTGTTGTTTTGTTTTGGTTTTTTGAATGATTACAAAGGCGAGTAACTTGTTTCTTAATCGAACAAAGAACGTACAGTATTTGAAACACTGACGCATACATCTGTACAATATATATATATATATATATATATATATATATATATATGTTCTGTCTCCTTTAGCAAGACTCTTGGACGCAGGCCTCCTTTTTCGAAATCCCCCACTGGGTGGGGGACAACTATATATGCAGGCACCTGCAGGTAGGCACACAAGGTCTTACTTCATCTCACTTGGAATTTCTTTGAATTAAGGAACTGACCGGTTTATTTGAATAGTTTTTCTAAACATTCCGCAAGCACACACACACACACACACACACACACACACACACACACACAAAGACACACACACAAAGGCACATACACAGAGACACACACACGCACAGACGCACAAAGGTACACATACACACACGTACACAAAGACACACACAAAGACACACAAAGTCATATACTGATTGACACAACCAAACGTATACACGCATACGCGTAAAGGGGGCGTGGTGTAGATCAATGGTTAGAATGTCAGTCGCCTATAAGAAATATATTAGTGTGCCCCACATTTGACATTTAGTAGACTAAGGTAATATATATATATATATATATATATATATATATATATATATATATATATATATATATATATGCCCCACATTTGACATTTGGTAGACTAAGGTAATATATATATATATATATATATATATATATATATATATATATATATATATAGAGTAAGAGAGACAGATACAGAAAAGTAACAAAAAACTTAAATCTAATTGCTATACGCACTTGAATTACAAAAACTATTTACTTTAAAAGTATTCCTTTTCAATAGCCCCTGGTCGACATCTTTTTCCGCAACACAAACGCAATATTTGTTATATATATATATATATATATATATATATATATATATATATATATATATATATATGATCCTGTGAGTATATCTAAATATATCAACAGCAATTGATATATTTACCTGTTTATATATATATATATATATATATATATATATATATAAAAAAAAAAGAAAGAATGGTAAGATATTTTACAAAACAGTGCTCAATGTAAATTTACAGAGCATAAATATTATAAATATAATTTATAATATTTACCTGTTGATATAAACTTATTCACACAATGTTACAGTGTTTTATTCGATTATCGATGTGCTGTGAAATGAGCTCGCTAGCCAGTGTCTTACAAGCAAGTACTTTACATACCTAAGCATTAATATATGCTTGCCGTCTAATTTACACATTTAGCGTTCACTTGTTGACACTTTCATAGTGTCGGAAGGTCACCTTTATAGTAAGGGCCATCTATGGTTGGTTTACCTGGGCATGAGCAAAATTGGCGATGCGCGAATATATATATATATAAATATATCCGCGACCACCTGAAAGTAAGCATAACATAATTTAGTATTCACTGAGATGGAATAACATATGTGAGTCTAAACGGAATTTCAATGTAGGTAATTAGTGTAAAAATCCACAGGTGCTAGTTCCAGAGTTAACAACTAGAATAAAATCAGGAAACGGATAAGAATGAAACATTCCGTGGAAAAGAAATGTCACATCCACACCTAGGTATGACGCGCACCGCTTGAAAGCGCATGACCACCCATAGATAGATAGATAGATAGATAGGGAAAGAGTAAGAGAGAGAGGGATAGATAGATAGATAGATAGATAGATAGATAGATAGATAGATAGATAGATAGATAGATAGATAGGGAAAGAGTAAGAGAGAGAGAGGGATAGAATTATAGATAGATAGATAGATAGATAGATAAATAGATAGATAGATAGATAGATAGGGAAAGAGTAAGAGAGAGCGGGATAGAATTATAGATAGATAGATAGATAGATAGATAGATAGATAGATAGATAGATAGGGAAAGAGTAAGAGAGAGAGGGATAGAATTATAGATAGATAGATAGATAGATAGATAGATAGATAGATAGATAGATAGATAGGGAAAGAGTAAGAGAGAGAGGGATAGATAGATAGATAGATAGATAGATAGATAGATAGATAGATAGATAAAGAGTGAGAGAGAGAGAGATAGATAGATAGATAGATAGATAGATAGATAGATAGATAGATAGATAGATAGGGAAAGAGTAAGAGAGAGAGGGATAGAATTATAGATAGATAGATAGATATAGATAGATAGATAGATAGATAGATAGATAGATAGAGAAAGAGTAAGAGAGAGAGGGATAGAATTATAGATAGATAGATAGATAGATAGATAGATAGATAGATAGATAGATAAAGAGTGATAAAGAGGGACAGATAGATAGATAGATAGATAGATAGATAGATAGATAGATAGATAGATAAAAAGTGAGAAAGAGGGAGAGATAGATAGATCGATAGATAAATAAATAGAGAGAGATTTTCAAGACGTAGCAATTAGTAAATGATTACAACATCTTGAGGACCGAATTCAGTACCGAAAGAATAGTTTTGTTCATAATCACCCTTCCTTGCTCACAGACATACACACACGCACATATATATATATATATATATATATATATATATATATATATATATATATATATATATATACACAATTAACACAAGACGTATGTGTAGGCACAAACACACACACATAAATATATATATATATGTAAATATATATAAATAGATATATACAGATATATAAGTCCCCTGATACACGCACACACACATATATATATATATATATATATATATATATATATATATATATAGAGAGAGAGAGAGAGAGAGAGAGAGAGAGAGAGAGAGACAGACAGACAGACATGCTTCTATATTTGCTTTAACTATGCATCGCATTTTACTAAACATTTCCCGACCAATTACAAATGCTAAACTTTTGTTACATATGGAGTTGTACAAACTTTCGTTCAAACAAGGATTTGTCCACATTTTTAAAGGAGATTCAAGCAAAGATGTATTTACTTTAGGGACTCAATTCAATTGCATATGATACGATTTTTTTCTAATTTTTCGAACTCAAATATTTGATTCTATTGAATGAAATCAACCTAAAAAATAAACCGTATTAAATACACTCTGTCCATGGCGACAAACCGCTCTTGTATGCACCTGACCTTGGTCCCTGTGATCACGATGAAGGTACGTACTCAACCCTCAACGTTAGGCACTGCTAATCAAGTTGTGGTTGGTGCTACGCCTTTGGCCAGTCAATGTTCACGCTGCGATAACGACGGGGACGACATTCAC